GAGTCCAAGACACAATGTGAGAAGGAGAAGGAATCCGCTATTGCAGAGTCCAAGACACAATGTGAGAAGGAGAAGGAATCTGCGATTGCAGAGTCCAAGACACAATGTGAGAAGGAAAAGGAATCCGCTATTGCAGAGTCCAAGACGCAGTGTGAGAAGGAAAAGGATGAGCTGCGCAAACAGGCCGAAGGAGCCGCGCAGAAAGAGCGGGAGCAATGCGAGAAAGACAAATCTCAACTGCGCCAGGAACGCGACGACGCGTTGCAAAAGTGCAAGTCGGACTGTGAGGCGGAGAAGGAACAGCTCCGCCAGCAAGGCACCGATGGAGCAAAGCAATGCGAGAGCGACAAGGCGGGACTACAGCAGCAGCTCAAGACCTGTCAAGACAACCAGCAGCCGACGAAGCCTACCGATACAGTCGCAGCCCAGGACCCCAAGTGCCGGGACAACAGCTGGCAGAATATGTGCGGTGGCGTGTGCCAGGAGGACACCTTCACCCTCGCTGGAGTCGTGTTCAAGAAGAGATGCTTCGTGCGTACTGTCATGGGACGGGAAGTACAGGTCTACCACCGCTCGTCGCTTCTCGAGTGCCTGGAGAAGGACTGTGCTCCCAACCCCAACTGTCTGGGTGTGGGATGGAGGCCATGGGAGGTCGGAGTGAGTTGATCCCTGTTTGCATCTGTATTGTTCGCGTCGAGGCTAATATCAACAGCATTGTCATGTTCATATGAGCATCGGCCATGGTCTTCGCACCGCGTATAATCCACACGAGCATTTGATCTACGCAAAGGATCGAGTTACGCCGCTGTGAGCCTGGGCAAAGTTCTAGGAGCTTCAATGTCATTTTAAGACTACAATGCGGCATTGACTCTGCCAATGAAGTTTACTAGGTACCACCCATGCGCTTCGCCATTCTGTGCCTACACACGTATCTTGCCAGTTGCACAGTACACCCTATAAAGAAGATCAATAATATTCGGCTCTCGGTCGCGTTTGTGCTCTTGTATTTAACCAGTCAGAACCAAACCTGGAATCGTATATCCATATGATATTATTTTCCTCCTAAGCTGTATGGATAACCCTGCCGAAAGACCGGAAGGCCTCAAAATGTGGTCATCCCTGTCTCTATAGCCAAAAGCAATTGCAAACCAGATTTTCGGGGAAAATAGGTGTCAGGCAATACATGTTCTTGGCCTTTGTCACGCCAGCCTGGGACCGGCAAACACTGATCCTTCATATATCTCACTAACCTAGAGTGACCACCGCGGCCAACGTGTCGCAAGTTTCAGTGGAGATTGAAGGAGTCTCTGGGCTTGACGCCTCGCGAACGTCACACACGGTGGCTCTTTTGGACATGGTGTATACTTCGGCCTCACCGCAGACGGAGCCATCCCCGCTAACACCACAGGCCTGACTGGGATTCCTTGCAGGCACCACAATTATCATGGACCCATCTCGGCTCTGGTCAACTGCTTCATTGCCGAAGTAATGGTAATTGCGCTTAGTAAATGGCCGAGACCCTGGTTGTGGCTGAATATGATAAAGTGCCATGTATCTGAAACATAGCTCGCCTATTTCAGGGACCGTCAACCCTGGAATTGTTATCCATATTGCCCTTGATTCTCCACTTTCCATCCGTCATTAGTCCTTAGGCCAGGATAGTCTATTCGAACTTGATCTAAAATTTGATATTTGCCGAGGATGTAGACAGGTGCATGACTTGTCTGTCAGGGACTGGTAACTATTCCCTCATCAGTTCAAATCTAGCCTAGATGGGTGGAGCATCTTACGGCACTAGGCTGGACCAGACCCTTATGAGTCTACCTGAACGTTCTTTGAATGACTTTAGCCTATTTTGTGTGCTAAGATATCGTGAGGAAGCGTGAAACATTTGGTTTCAAATGTACATGGTGTCAACCGAGCTGATAGCTCTCAGGACGAAGTATATAAGGTATTTCCCAGCGCCCTCACTGTTCCTATGGCTGGTCAAGCTCGTTCATTCTTTTCTAGCTATCCCTGTCTTTTACTTCTATTTTCCTTCCGTACATTCTCTCAGCGAACTAGATCGTTTGCATTTTCTGAAAAATGAAGTTTACTTCGTCCATTCTCTTCTCGCTTGCGAGCATCACCCCGCTGGTCTCGGGGCACTACGTTTTTTCCAAGCTCATCGTCGACGGCAAACCCACCCAGGACTTTGAGTACATTCGCAAGAACACCAACGGCTACATGCCTACCCTCGCCTCTGATATCCTCAGCAATGACTTCCGCTGCAACCAGGGCTCGATGCAGTCCGCCGCCAGTACCAAGGTGTATACTGTTGCCCCCGGCACGGAGCTCGGCTTCAAGCTAGCCTACGGCGCCCAGATGAAGCACCCGGGACCTCTGCAAATCTACATGTCCAAGGCTCCCGGCGACGTCAAATCGTACGACGGCTCCGGCGACTGGTTCAAGGTCCATCAGGAAGGCCTCTGCGCCGACACCTCCAAGGGGATCGTGGATGAGGATTGGTGCACCTGGGGCAAGGATACGGCGTCCTTCAAGATCCCTGAGGACCTGCCGGCCGGGCAGTATCTTGTCCGCGTGGAGCATATTGGCCTGCACCGAGGGTTCAGCGGCAATTCCGAGTTCTACTTCACCTGCGCCCAGATCGAGGTGACGGGTTCTGGGTCGGGATCGCCCAGTCCTGTTGTCAAGATTCCCGGCGTGTACAAGCCTGATGACACAAACATTCACTTTAACATCTACTACCCTACTCCTACGGCTTACAACCTCCCGGGCCCGTCTGTCTGGACTGGTGGCTCGGCGGGAGCCGCCCGTGCTACTGCGCCGGCTGTCAACAACAATGCTGTTTCGGCCGCTCCCACGACCATGACGACTGTCTCCAAATCTTCCGCCAGACCGACTGCAGGAGCTGGTGCAGGAGCTGGTTGCGGTAGCTCAGCTTCCTCGTCCGCTGGAGCCCCTGGTGGCGCCCTCAAGAAATATGCTCAGTGCGGTGGTCTGAACTGGACTGGTTCTGGCTCTTGTGAGACGGGCACTACCTGCCACCAGTACAACCCTTACTATCACCAGTGTGTCTAGTCGTGGCCAGGCGGAGCTTCTCGTCAGCGTTATAGCAGCGTGTGACTCCTCTGCCCGCTCTTACTACCCTTAAGACAACGGGTTCAATTCTTTCCTCACTTTTCGCCCTGCTATCCACATGGTTGCTCCGGTGGAAACAAGCTCCGAACCTGATTGTATGTACTTCAGATGACAAGAAGTTAAGCGAATGTAATTCAAGACTGTACACTTCGGCATGGCCAGTAGAAAGATTCTCGTAGAGGCCTGTATTAATTGAGGCTCGAGTGTGTTTGATCGAGTTTGATCAACATGTCCAGACTCACGGACTAGAAAACTCTACAACACTGGTGGATGCTCGGACCGAGGACAGCCCAGCAGCTATTATTGGGAACTAGTTAAAATTTAAGCCGTCTAGATTTCAACCGGCCCAATCAACCGACAAGAAAGAACTGATGGCCACGGTTCCGTGGCGTTGGCGCCAGACTTGGCTCCCGTATACTCGTATATTCGTATACTCGTTTGTCGTATACCTTATGTACTTTCGTACAGTCGTATCCAGACTGCATTGGAATCGGCGATGATGGGACCAAACTAGAATTGCGCGTCCTCAAATACCAAGAAGGACGACCTCAGAATTCATCTCTTGCGTTTCTTGAGGCAATCCAATCTGTATCAGCCCACTACTGTATCCCGATCCAGCGGCGTAGGGCTCAATGGCAGACACCGGCTTTGTCTACAAACTATACCGCTATGTTCCTTCAATTCCAGCTGCTGCAATCGTGGCAGCAGTCTTTGGTCTCCTGTCCATGGGCTATGTCTATCGCATCGTCAAACACAGGGCATACTTCTTCGTCCCTTTCATCATTGGTCTTCTTTGTATGTCTTCACGGGTTGCCATACCAGCATCAGCATCAGCGTGATGAAATACTGACAATTCCCAGTCGAAACAGCAGGTTATATTGCTCGCATCTTCTCCCATTTTGACCCAACCGCTTTGGGCCCATATATCGTGCAGACGATGTTGATCCTTGTCGCTCCCCCCTTGTTCGCCGCCTCCATCTACATGACTCTCGGACGAGTGATCCGGGAGCTGAACGCGGAGCCCGCCTCCCTAATTCGAGTACGCTGGCTGACCAAGATCTTCGTGGTGGGGGATGTCATTTCCTTTCTGTTGCAGTGCGGAGGTAAGAGGCTTTTGTCCGTCCATCCATGGCACCCGCTAACTAATCATGATATCTCACAGGAGGGGGATACATGGCGGCGGGCACCCTCGACGCCATGAAAAACGGCGAGCACATTGTCATCGCCGGTCTCGCAATCCAGCTACTCTGGTTCGGCTTCTTCATCGTCGTCGCATCGCTGTTCCACTGGCGCGTTGTCCGCCATCCAAAATATACCATCTCCAAAGATCTGAAATCCCAGGGCTCGGGGACTTCCTGGACGACTCTCATGTGGGCCCTCTACGCCGCATGTGTCCTGATCCTGGTTCGCTCCGTCTTCCGAGTGGTCGAGTTCGTCCAGGGCAATGCCGGCTTCATCATGAGCCATGAGTATCTCCTCTACGTCTTCGACGCGGCGTTGATGGCGCTGACTGGCGTTGTGCTTGGTCTGGTCTTCCCGGGCTCGTTTGTCTCGCCACGGTCGCGACGGGCCGAGGATGGGATTCCTCTTGGTAGTCAGCTGTCTAGGTGATTGGCTGATTGAGTCTGGCGTATCTGTCCATATGCTGGTCTATGGCTTAGAGCGTGTTATTGTTTCATCTATAGACTATTCGTTCAGATTCTATCACAACGTGTCAACTCGGAACACATGTCGAGGGATAAATTAAGCGATGTAGAAGATATTTAGTGGATCCGTGTACTTCGGAACATGGCCGTGTCTCCTTTGGGGCTTAGGCAGGGTCATACTAAGGGTCCACTAAGACCCTGTCCCGCTTGGCTTTATCTTGCCGTTGTAGCAACGTGAAACCGCTAGTCTTAGCCCTGGTCCTGACTACCCTTGAAGCGGGCCTGGTGAGCTGTGGCCTGATGGAATTTCGGCTCCTGACTCCTGCAAAATGCCGTAACTAGAGGAAAAAAGGAGGCAACTCTTTGCCGTGCCTCGTGTAGATGAGACCCACGCTGTCTATCCACAGTTAAGGGTCTCTTAAGGGTCTCCGACTTCAGGGACTGAATGACATATTTCCTGACAGCAGCTCAACGCGACAACTATTTAACCATGAGGCCCCGTCGACGATAGTGCTGAAAAGACAGACACTCATCATCGTTGCCAAAATGGTTACTTTCAGCCGACTTTTGCTCCTCCTCCCTATTCTCGGGGCACTCGCCTCCGATCCTACCACGGAGCCCACCATCGAGGCCACCAAGTCCTTTGACTTCCTCCAGCACATGGGAGAAATCATCTTCAACACCACTGACGGCAGCCTCGATCGTCGCGACACCACATTCAGCACCAGCAAAGACGGCGTGAACGCCGCGGGCTACTACTACTCCTTGTACAACGACAACCACGCCGGCGCCGGCTACACCGAGGACCCCCACAGCGGGCACTTCAAACTCGGCTGGACCCTGCCTTCCCGCAGCGAGTTCCTCGGCGGAAAGGGCTTCCGCGGTGGCAGCACACGGTATGCAGTTATCCTTTGTACCCGTCCCCCCTTTATAGCTATAGCTAACGCACTTCTGCAGCACCCTCACCTGGGACGGCTACTTCTCCGCTAAAGGCGACTACACCCTCGCCGTCTACGGATGGACCACCAACCCCGTCACCGAGTGGTACATTGTCGAGGCGCACGGCACGGGCACCCCGGGCAACGGCCACATCCTGGGCCAGGTGTACGCTAATGATGGCGTGTATGATGTCTACATGCTACCCTACCGTAATGTGCCGAAGATCTATGGTACCACGAACTTTAACCAGCTGTGGTCGGTCCGTCGGTCCCATCGCACGACTGGCACGGTCGATGTCACGGCGCATTTTAACCGCTGGAAGCAGCTGGGGTTGCAGCCTGGGAGTCCGGTCTTTCAGATGGTGACAGCGGAGGGGTTCCAGGGGAATGGCTTTTTGGACTTTACTCTGCATTAGAGCGTTGATTGGAATAAGCATGTTGCTGTATAGTTGTGTAGAGATATATATCACCTGGCTGGACGGGAAGAGCACCATTGATACGACGGAGACTGGAAAAAAGGGTAGTAGAGGCCAAGCATTGCAATGAAATTATAATATAAAGTAGTTATTATACAATCTATCCCTGTTATACAGTGCTAAATGTCTATTGTGTGGCTGTAGGCTGTAGGATATAATGTTCTTGGCGCCAGGGATGAAGCAAACGGAGCAAACGTACCTATTCTGGTCAAAGAGATATCCCCGACACCCATCATCCATTGCAACGCATCAATCGGAAGAGGCGACAGAATCAAATGACAACAGACGGTCTCTCCGACAGAAGCGCTCGCAGAAGAATAAGAGCCAGGCACACCAAGTCTCGCAAAGGGTGCTTTACCTGCAAGGGCCGCCGAGTCAAGGTACGTATTCCGTATCCCTGCCTAGGACGATGGACGACGCTCAGACATCCAGTGCGACGAAATCAAACCAATATGTGGTGCTTGTGCCTTGAGAGACGAGCCCTGTAACTGGCCTGCCACAACAGGTTCTCAAGGGCCCGATACGCCGGATCGGTCACAGGCTGACTCCGACCAGACTGGCCGCGCTAAAGCACCCCAAGATCAATCCAAGCGCAGAGCAGCGCATCCAGGCTCAGGGTCACCGCACCCGTTGCAGTTTGATATCGCATCGGATGCAGCCGGTGGCCGTTCGACTCCCCTCCCCGGGGAGTTGAACATGGTTGATCTGCAGCTCCACTCTCATTTCATGCTGCACACCTGCAAGCACATGTCGCTGAACCCGCGCCGGCAACACATCTGGGAGACCGTCATCCCCCGCTTTGCCATGCGGAATGAGGCCCTCATGCACCTCCTTCTCGCCTTGGCAGGGCTGGACTACGCTTCAGACAAGACAACCGACCAGCAACCAGCACATACGTCTCCAGACATGGAGAGCCAGCCCTCGTCGACCATTGCAGACCACGACCACGACCACGACCACAACCACGTCCTGGACGCCGCATACCTCCAGGTCATCATCGAGCACCACCAACGCGGCCTGGAATCGTTCAGGACGGAGCTCGCGAACCTGTCCAGCACGAATCTCAACCTCGTGTTCGCGGGCTCGATGCTGCTGGTCGGGTTCGCCCTCGCGTCCCTCCGCATCCGGAACCTGAACGACGCACACTCGCCACCAGGCCAGCCGCGGCTCGACTGGATCTTCCTCATCCAAGGCCTGTGCACCGTCATCACGCACAACTGGCCGGAGCTGCGCATGGGCCCGCTGCGAGACTTGACGGATTACAGCCACGCGAATGACGACTGGCGATTATGTCCGCGGGACGCCCTTCGCTCAATGTCTTCCATACGTCGAGGGTGCTCGCCCCGTCTGGTTGCGTTCTGTCGCGGCGCGGATGAGGCCTTGACACAGCTGGTTGGATACCATGCGTCCTTGGCCGCCCGGGAGGGGCAGATCCTGGCGGAGCAGAAGGCTGCCCTGGAGCTCCTGGAGGGGATGTACATGCGGACGCTGTATGTCGTGCACTTTTCGAGCGAGGCGCGAGAGTCGCCGCTTGATGTGCAGGCTGATCTGGAAGACGCGGCGCTCATGGCTTGGGCGGAGTTTCTGCCGCCGGGGTTTCTGGATACTCTGGCTGGTGGCGGGGTGTGTTCGACGCTGTCGTATGTGATCCTGGCGTACTTTCATCTGCTCTTCACGCTGTTTGAATCCTTTTGGTATGTTAAGGGGGGTTTTGATGGGGAGATTGTCAAGATTAAGGCGCTGGTGGATATGTCGGGAGAGGCAGAGTTGATGTCGTTGATGCAGTGGCCGGTGTCTGTTGTTGCTGTTTATCCTACATAGCAGTCTATATGTATAATCTGAAGTAAAAGTACAATTGTGGCTGATTGAGTAGATAGAGTCCTGACTCTGTGGTTATACCCCCCCAATTACCACATTAGGAAAATGATGAGATGGTCCATCCGAGCAAATACTACGGGACACATTGCGTAGTGCAACAACGTCATATTTAGCACTCCACACATATCATCTTGGTATTCTCTACTCCACGATAAAAACACCCTCACCAGTAGATCAAAATGGATCAAATGGATGAAATGGACCACCCCTCGACAATGAAAGCCTGGCTCTACACCAGCACCACCGGAGGCCTCGAGAAAAACCTCGAGCTCAGCACCTCCGCCCGCACCCCGGGCCCACCCGGCCACGACCAACTGCTCATCAAAGTCATCTCAGCTTCCATCAACCCAGCCGACTACAAAGTCCCCGAAATGCCCATCGCATCCCGATTTTTTGTTACCCACCCCGCCACCCCGGGAATGGACTTTTGCGGGAAGGTAGTAACCGCCGGCCCCGGCGTGACGGCCTTCCAACCCGGCCAGCTCGTCTACGGGACCACCGCTGCGCCTACGCAGTTCGGTTCGCTGGGTGAGTACCTCCTCTGCAAGACAGGGAATGTAGCTCTCCTGCCAGACGGGGTCGCACCCGACCATGCAGCCACCGTAGGCGTCGCCGCGCAGACGGCGTACCAGTCTATCGCGCCGTATGTCTCCCCAGGGGATAGGGTGTTCATCAACGGGGGTTCAGGCGGGTGCGGGATCTTTGCGATCCAGATTGCCAAGGCGCTGGGGTGTACCGTGACGACGACGTGTTCCACGCGCAATGTCCAGTTCTGCAAGGATCTGGGCGCCGATGAGGTGATTGACTATACCCAGGAGGATGTGCTGGGTGTCCTCTGTGCCCGCGGGCAGGTGTATGCGCATGTTGTTGACCATATTGGGCTGCCGGACGGGCTGTATGCGCAGTCGCATTCGTTCTTGCTTCCTGGGAAGGCGTTTGTGCAGGTTGGTGCGGTGTCGATGCTTACGTTTGTGCGGCGGGTGGTGTGGCCTGGGTTTTTGGGGGGTGGGAAGAGAAAGTATGTGATTTTCATGCTGAAGAGTAATAAGGAGGATATTAAGACGCTGGGGGAATGGATGCAGCAGGGGAAGTTGCGCGTGGAGGTCGACAGCACATATGAGCTGGAGGATGCGGTCAAGGCGTTTGAGAAGTTGCGTTCGGGGAGGGCGAGGGGGAAGGTTATCATTCATGTTTCTTCGGAGTCAAAGTAATCTACGCTAGCCAGTCGTCAGAAATTTATGCATTTCTCTACTGGAGTATGCCCTATTGCCGGAGAAAAGTCAGCGCCCCCAGGCTCATCGCGTCAACGGCCGTCCGTAGAGTCGGCTGGATACATGGCGCAAAGAACGGCGAATGGTTACTTGGCAGCTCGTTCACCGTCCCCCTGGCCACGGCGTCCTCCCATATCTTCTCGTCGACGCCGCCATACGTCCACATCACGTACGGGGCCCCAACAGCCGTCGCAAGTAGCGAGAAATCCTCACTCGCCGCGATAGGCTCCGACTCTACCAGATTCTTCTTGAAGTAGGACCCAAAAGTCTCTTTGAGCGCATGCACAGTAGCCTCATCGTTGATGGTAGCCGGCGTGGAAGACACAATATCAACGGACGGTTTCTCCACGACACCAGCCGCCGCACATTCAGCCTCAACGATCCGCCTGATGCCCGCGATGACTCTCTCACGAGTATCTTTATCATACGTCCGCACACTGAGCTTCAAATCCAACCGATCCGGAATGATATTCGACTTCGTGCCCGCATGAATACTCCCACAAGTCACGACCGCCAACTCCCCCGGCGTCACCTCCCGACTCACAATACTCTGCAGCCTCATCACAATCGCCGCCCCAATAACAATCGGATCGATGCAAGACTGCGGCGCCGAGCCATGCCCACCACGCCCATACACCCGCACATTAATCCCATCCGCCGCCGTGAGCAACCGCCCAGCCCGAACACTCACCGTGCCGGTCTTCATCCGGACCAGATGCTGCGCAAGCACAACATCCGGCTGCGGGACTTTATCGTACAGCCCGTCTTTGATCATCGCCCGCGCACCGCTCACATGCTCCTCCGCCGGCTGGAAGAGACAGATCAGTGTTCCCGACCAGTGCTCCCGTGCTGCGTGCAGTAGACTCGCAGCCGCCATGAGGCAGACGACGTGGGTATCGTGACCGCAGGCGTGCATCACGGGAACGGTCTCGCCGCTGGGGTCTGTGGCGGTTTTGGTACTTGCGTAGGGCAGGCCGGTTTTCTCTTCGACGGGGAGGGCGTCCATGTCGGCGCGAAGGAGGACGGTTGGGCCTGCTCCATTGCGTAGGACTCCGGCGAGGCCATAGCCGCCGATGTGTGTGTGGACTTCGAAGCCGAGGTTTTTTAGGTGTGAGGCGGCGATTGTCGAGGTTTGTTCTTCTTGGCCGGAGAGTTCGGGGGAGCGGTGGATTTGTTTGTAGGTTCCTTCGAAGGGGGACAGGTCTGGTCGGTATTTTTCAATGAGGCCGTTGAGGCTGGTGGGAGCTTATAGTATTGTCAGATTGATCTATATTGATAGTGCAAACTTACCTCTCATCTGCATGGTGTTATCTGCTCAATCGGTCTGTGTGGTAGTGTGTTGGACTGCCTTATGTCCTTGCGGGGTGGGCGAATACTTATACCCCGCGTTTCCTACATCCCTTGCTTCATTTAGATATCCACAAGATGATATGATTGGCGTCATGAAGAGATATGATGATCTCCTTCGTTTCCAATGCTGATTGGATCGATCATGCCGAGCTATCGCTGTTCTCGGCTGCCTTCTCCAGTATCCACGTCTCATCTCGGAGCTAGGCAGTTGGGATGGAGACACGCGGGTTAAAGACTTTTGCGGGGCTGCAAGTAGCCTTGGGTTTGTTTATTATTAGTATTATAATCGAAATATCCTAGCTTAGTCCAATCATCGGCGATGCCAAGTTAAAACTTTTGCGTCCAAGGGCTACTCTCGTATTCGTTGAGGGCTGAGCCGGAGCATGATTCATGAGGCCACCTAAGGCTAAGAGATATAACCTGCGAGTCCAAATGCAGGAAGAAAAAGCACTCGGACAAGTTAACCTACATCATGATCACACTTTGCGACCTCCCCGACGACATCCTCCTAGAGATCCTCACCCAAAATAACCTCTCCGAACACGATGTCAACGCCTTCGCCCAGACAAATCACCAACTCCACACTCTTGCAAACCGGTGCCTCTACCGTCAAAACGCACTGCACAACCGAAGCAGCGCGCTGGTATGGGCATCCGAAACGGGGAGTCTAGAGACGGCCATATTCGCCCTCGACCACGGCAGCGCAGACATCAACATCAAATCCCTCAAACACTACGGCGGCACACCGCTCATGCTTGCCTCGGAAAAGGGCCATCGCGCGATCGTCGAATTCCTGCTATCCAAAGGCGCAAACACGAACGCAACTAACATCTTCCATGAAACCGCCCTCAGTGTAGCAGCGCAGACCGGCGCTCTCGACACCGTGAACATCCTCCTAGATCACCCCAAGGCTCTACCCGACCTGCCCGACACATCCGGGCAAACAGCATTCTGGTGCGCCTGCTGTAATGGCCACCAGGCAGTCGTGGAGAGACTGCTCGCCAGACCGGACGTCGACATCAACCGCCAGCGACAAGACGGCGCCACGCCGCTGATTTCGGCGACCGGTGCGGGGCACACTGCCGTGGTACAATTGCTGTCCGCGGATGAGAGAATTGATCCAAACCGCTGCACGGAGGACGCAAAAACAGCTCTGATGATGGCTGCGCTGCATGGCCGCGAGATGATCGTAAAGCTGCTCGTCGATATGCCGACATGCAACGTCGACGCCGAAGACTCCGAGGGCAAACGAGCTCTCTCGTACGCCGTGAGAGGCGACTGCGTGGCGATCATGCAGCTATTGGTTGATAAAGGTACAGACGTGAACCACCAAGATCAATCAGGTCGGACGGCACTTTCCACCGCGGCGGATCTTGGCAGTGAAAGCATGACAGCCTTGTTGCTGCAGCATGGTGCTGATCCTACCTTGCCGGATAGTAAAGGCTGGATCCCTCTTCACTGGGCTGCGCAGGCCGGTCATGAGGCCGTTGTCAAGCTCCTCCTCGAAGACGATCGTACGAACCCAGGGCATGCAAGCTTGATTGGCACCACGCCGCTCCATTGTGCGTCATGGGATGGTCACTATGGTGTCATAAAGCTCCTGTTAGCGAGAGACGATATTGATGTCAACTGCAAAGACAACGCTGGGTGGACACCTCTAATCTGGGCAGCGTTTAACAAATCCGTGAGTCTTATGCAACTATTCTTGGACGATCCCCGTACGGACGTCAATGCACAAGAGCATCAGGGCAGGACGGCGCTTTTCTTTGCGGCCAAGACGCGTCAGCAAGCTGTTGTGGAAGCTCTTCTTGGTCATCCGATGATCGATACTACGATCGAGGGTCAGACCGGCAAGAATGCTGTAATGTATGCGAATGAACTTGGTCATCTGGATATGGCTGCCTTGATTGAGGCGTTTGCAAAGAAAGGGCAGTACAATTAGTATAGCCCAGACGCCCAGCAGAAGAGAAGATTACCCTATTACACACAGAAGACTACCATCAGTTGCTCTACACCTATACTCTACATCCAGATATTGTCAGCTTGCTGCTGGGACCGGGGGAGGATATTGAATGTTGAGACGGCACTGCAGCAACGCCTTCATTCACGCTGCAAAGATGGGGAGCCCAAAGGGCTTTGAAGATGCGTCTTCGGCGCGGTGCTCATGTTAATGGAAAAGATGGTGGACAGGCTGTTGGAATATGGTACAGAACTGTGACCTCATTGTGGCACATAAGTAAGACAATACTGGCGAGTCGATGAGGTTAAGCTGGAATTACAAACATGTCTCAGTTCTTTTCACATCACGCTGAGTATGACATGGGACCCTCTTGGTTATAACAATGCTGTCTTGCACAGGTTGTATCCTTTAGGACTTTCCCTTATCACTAGTCATACTAAATCTTGTTCACAGTGAGCCTTCATTACAGAAGAATATTTTTTGATATTTAATTATTCAGGATCATAACTCTATTCTTGATAGTAATTAGAGGCGTGTACTATGTCTTGATTTTTCCTTAAGAGACATGGTCCAGCTGTATTATGGATTAGAAAACTATTAAAGCTAGTTTGTTCATTTAAACAAGCAGTGAGTTATATGACTTCATGCCAGCCGTATTACTTACCAATAAACCTATTACCTAACTCATCTATTTTAGCTAAGCTTAAGACAGCCCTTATACACCTAAGAGCTGGATGTAAAATGCTAGCAGACTTTAAAACAATCACAAAGCAGCCCTAATAGTTATGACTTTTTGCTGTCTAATGAATTACTCTAGATAACCATTACTTGCTACACTAATTTTAACTTAGTGTTGACTGTACTGCTAGGCTTTAAGCTATATTATAGGAGCTTCTAAGAGTATCCACCCATCTAATAAGTCTGTGCTGTTGATATACTACCAGCACTAGCGGCTTCAGGGTCTGATGATCACATAATGCTAAGCTGAATAACCAACCTAAGCGTACAGTAAATTGCTCCTTCTTGCTAGTCACTATTTTAGTTAACAGTTCCCACAGTCTTATAACTGGAGTTGGTTCATTATAGCCTAGAGACTAGTTTCTGGAAGTATGTTCTCATCTCAACTGTTTGTAGCAGAAAAATTAGCCATACGAACCAGTTAGAAGGTATCCTCCCAAAGTTCGCCTTGACGCCCAAGTAGCATGGTGCGGCGCGGAATTACCGGAATTTACACCGTTGAAGTTGGGATTCACCCTTGTCAATAAATCAGCCCACTAACTAGCTAATCAGACAGCTGACATCATGGAATAATTGACGGAGCTTCTCCAGATTGATGATATTGATCGATTCCTGTACTAAACCGTACTCTAGGTTCCGAGACAGTTGAGACCCGCAATCAACCAGTTGTTGTGTTTTCCCTCAGCGGTGGATTGGCACACAAACCATCTAATGAAAACTGAGGACGGATGGAAACAACTATAATCGGCTTCAGTGTCCGCCATTCATTGGTAATTGCACAGAGAGAATTATGCATCGAAAGCTTGAGTAACTGCATAACTCTTGAGTGCACAACATCGCTCACTGAGCTGGATACATAGTCTACGAGTGCCTTCTATAAGGCTCCCACTAAATCCATGGCAACCTCTGCCAGTTTTTCTCGCTATATCCTTCAGTATTCCTTCTATTCCTACTCACCCTTGGTCACGCGTTGTGGTGGTCGTCGAGTCAAGAGGTACAAGCAGCACAAATCCCAGGCCAAACAATCAGGATATTTTCTTGGAAACTTACCCTATTTTGGATTGCCTCACACCAGGGCATCCAAGACGACCAGGCGACAGCTCTAAGGGCACCCGTGGCAGGTTGATAGAAATAGTGACCAACGAGACGGCACCGAGACCAAGATACCTGAGAAGCCTCAGCCCGGGCATCAAGAGAAGGACAAATGTGGTTGGTTGATGGGTTGGACAGGAGTCGGCCAGCCAAGGATTTTATCGAAGCAGTTTCAAGGGTCCCCGAGGATTCTGAGAACATCAGACCACAAACGATAAAACCTCCATTTCAATCCAAATTGGACAAACAGAGCCCCTATCGCGCTCCGTTATCTCTGCGGGGTAAGAACTACTGCAGGATCCCGGACTAGTGTACAAATGAGGTGGATCAGCCTGTGTGGCGAACTAGGGTCGGAGGCAACAATTTCCATGGGGATACTTGAGAGGCGTGTGACTAAAGACAGCTCATAAACAAGGCTATAGGGGCCGTATGCTTAGAAGCGAACCCGAGTCGTTTCAATCTACAAGGGATGGTATGTCAGCCTAGGAAAAGCTTATGTAGTTATGAGTGTTAGCGCAACAACAGTTGACTATGTCTCTAACAAAGCAGTATGAGCCATTCCTGGAGTAGAATGTTGGTAATACCACTGTTGGGGTAACATTTAACGTCTACTTCTGCGTGGTAAAAGAAGTGAACGTGATTAGATGTGACTACCTTCCTTACGAACTGGATGGATCGATAATAGGACCTCCATAGTGACAGACAATACTACCCTAGAAAGCACGTCCTAACCTGAAAAATTTGAAGTAAACAGGGGCTGAAACTCAAGTAAGCTGTTTCCAGACTATGCCAGTACAAAATATGATGATATTTATACGTATATCTAGGTCAAGGTGGGTAGAGAAATAACCATTTTAACTACTAACATAAGTAGGTAATATCCATTCACAAAAGCCCAAACAGATATAGATAGGGTTGAGTTTCCCCCTATGATTTAAACATGTCACATTCATTTTCATCTCTGCTCCTGGCCTAGACCAATTATAGTACATTTGACTCGTGACCTAAGTAGTAGCTACCAAGTCAACTAAATTTTGCGGAGGTTTTGCGAAAGCATCTGCCTTGGTTTCGCCACCAGCCAGGATCTTGCCAGCGAATATAAAACCAACTCTGATCAATACATCTAGTTCAGTTTAACAAATTCCAATTTTGTCTAGATATCATCATGGCAGACCTTTTCCGAAAGCTTTTTCTTTTTGGGGACGCTCAAATTCCACCCCCAACCCACATCAATGTTGCTGTTACTGTCTCATCATCCACGCTACACAAACATGGTTCCGACGATGAATTTTACATCACCCTTGAGGCAACCCTTCCTCAAACCCTGAATACGCCTGACAAGCCGCTTACTATCCTTGTATTTGGCACGCTCCTTGACCCTAGCGGCATAGCCCTTTATGAAAATGGCTTTAACTTTATTAATATCAACACAGGCGCTCCTGCGAAGCGTCCAAGCCTGACCAAACATTATAGCTTTGGTGGGATGTCTGATATCCCCATCGAACCCCAGTTTGAGCGATATTTTGTCACCCTTCAGCCTGGCGTGCCTCACCAAGTGAGATTTACCTTATGGCCCTGTCCCAGGAACCAGCAACACAATAAAGACAACCCTGAGCGGCTTAGAGCTGCGTGTGGGGAGCTACTTATAACTAATGAGGATGAGGCCATAGTTGCTGCAGGCTTTTCTCAAGTCACATATTTGGAAGTGGGATCGACATATCGTGTTGAGTTTGGGAATAAGCTGAACCTGGTACCCTGGTATCGATATGGGCTAAAGGAGCAGGTTCTGGAGGGACAGGGTGCTGGAGTTCGTGTGAAGCAACAGCGAGAGCTAGTAGGGGACAGTGAGATGCAACCAATATCCCTAGTGATGCAGGGTTCTGCTAGCTTCACTGTCGAAGAGTAGGAACTTATAGGATTCAAAATAGGCAAGCTTGTTTTCGGATCTAGATGGGACAGTTGACCAGTAATGACACTGATGTGCACATAAACCATTAGAATAGAAGCGAGCACCTAACTTGATCGTAGTATATGAAACAAAAAGAGCTTCAATGGAGCCCTGCCGACATACTGATCGGGCAGCGCACCTTCTTAGCAAGGTCCGCATTCGAAAAGGGAATTTCTGAAGCCTAGCGACTTGTTACTGGCAAAAATGACTCTCATCCAATTTCCTCAAATCCGTTTGTCAACGCTGACGACATTCTGCTGCGGCGCAGGTAATTCTTTCAGAGGTTACCTGAAACCCTCTATGGCCTCCTGATCTTTCCTATATTAAGCCTATTCAGTGCATTGTACCAGACCAGCTTCGTTGAAGAGACACCTCTTCCAGTTACCTACCATTATCCATTACTTTTAAAAAGAAGAAATACAAGTTTGGATCCCATGAACTTCCTTGATTTACCTTGCGAATTTCTGCTTTCTGTTGCAGAACAATGTGATGACCCCCGAGATATCCTGTCGTTTGCTTGTCTGACACGTGCTACCTACAATATCCTACAAAAGCTGCTCTATTGATCATGTGCTCAACAGCAAAACTATATTGCCCTACATTATGCTGCAAAGCATAACAAATGTGATGTTGCACAGACGCTCCTTTGATATGGAGCTCATGTCAATTCCAGATTTAAGATAAGCAGTGCTCTCATTTTTGCGGTGGTATTTGGTTTAGAATCTGTGATGGACTTCTGACCCAGGAGGACATTGATGTGAGCACATGAAACATGCATAGGGAGACTGTGATGTAGCATGCTGTATATACAGGGAGGAGGTTCAGTAGTAGCAAGGCTGCTGCAACAGAATGATCTTAAAATTATAGATATATTCCATGGAATTACTCTGTTTACACTAGCAGTAGCCAGCAGGAATATAAGCATTGCTAAGGCTCTTCTTAATTTAAATAGGGTTAATATCAATTTTTAAGATGCACAGAGCAGGACCCCACTCCATCATGCAGTGCTTTCGAAACACAAGCCTTCAGTCTTGCTGCTGCTTGATATAAATAGGGTCAATATCAATCTCCAAGGCGCATAGGGCAGGACCCCGCTCCTGAGGAGATCATCAAGGCCGTTGCATTCAGAACAGATATAATATTTATGTGATCAGAGTGACTACTCTACAGGACACCTCAGTAATACCCTTCCGGTTCACCATCATCCAGACCAACTCATTCTATGATATAAATCCTCCAATTCAACCATCTAAGCAGACCCGCTCGCAGGGTCTTCAGGACACTTGGCAGATTATCCATCCACCGAGAGGTTTGACCACAGTGTACTGCCAGAGCCTTTCACCACATCCTAAATTTTCACACTGTCTTACAACCGATTTGGCACTTCTGAGCAGAGGATATACACTTCCGCCGCCACCATGTCTCCCTTGTCTATGCAACCGATTCTGTTCAAGGAACTACTGAAAATAAACCATTGGAGACGATTGGGACCTCAAAGGACCAGCAATTGCCGTGGAAGGTGCTGGGGAAATCGCTTGGACTTCCGACAATTGACCAAGGGCAGTATTGGCTCAACACTGCCCCTTACCTAGATAATCTCTTGATCCAGTGCGGCTACGATGTGCACAAGCAGTACCAGTACCTGGCCTTCTTTCACCGCCATGTTCTCCCTGTCCTTGGTCCGTTCATTCGGTCTAGTGTAGAAGCCAACTACATCAGCGGCTTCTCAGCCGAGGGCTATCCCATGGAATTGAGCCTCAACTACCAACCCTCCAAGGCGACCGTCCGACTCGGCTGTGAGCCTGTGGGCGAGTTCGCGGGCACGTCGCAGGATCCCATGAACCCATGACACGGGAGATGTTGGGAAAACTTGCCCGTTTGGACCACTCGTTTGGCCTGTGCTTATTCGACTATTTCGACTCCAGCTTAGTTTGACCACAAGCGAGGCTAACCTTGCCGCGTCAAAGTTGATCAAACAGCGCCGGCAGAGCAAGGTCACTGCGTTTGATCTCAAGAATGGAGCTATCATTCCAAAGGCATACCTTTTCCTCAAAAGGCAAGTCTTTTGTGAGTGGAATACCGGTGCAGGACGCCGCCTTCAATGCTATTGAGTCAATCGCCCCGAAGCAGATTGAGACTCCCTTGCTCGTCCTGAAAACCTTCGTCACCAAGCTCTTTGCAAAGCCTACTGTCACCAGCGACGTTTTCATTCTAGCGGGTCGATTGCATCGTTCCGCAAAAGTCGCGCATCAAGCTGTATGTTGCCGATGCGCAACTGAGTCTGGCGACGCTGCGAGAATTCTGGACTTTGGGCGGATTGGTCACCGACTCTGCCACGATGGAGGATTCTCCTGTTTGATGACGCCGTCTGTTCAAACTCCAACATGGACCAACTAACCCTTGTGGTAAATTATGAGCTATCATCGGGTAGCGCAACGCCCAAGCCGCAGGTCTCTCTTCCTTTGCACGGAAGGAATGACGAGGCCATGGCTAATGTGCTCACCAAATTGTGGGAATACTCGGGGTGGAAGGGATTGGCTGCACAGTACAAAAAGGCTCTATATGCGAACAAGTATGTATTTTAATCATGAAACTTGTCGACGAAATGCTAACACTATCTAGCCCTTGTCGAAACCTTACAGAGACCGCTACAGTCCAGCGCTGGATGGCCTTTTCTTACACAGGGTCCGGTGGCGCATACCTGACTGTTTACTTCCATGCAGTTGGTGGTATGCAGGGCAATCTTTAGTCAGTCGTTACTAGGAAACACGATGTTCTTGACTTAGTCAAAGGGCAGGCAGATGGATCGCGGCAATGTTTTAGCTTCCAAAGGTAGCAATTGCACAGTAGCCGGAGATGGGCATTTCTTGAAAATACTGTGCTTCTCCCTTGATGCATGGTTAGAGATATACAAGCGCCGTCAACGTCGCATAGCCGTTACCCATGCTAGTGATCGACTGAATGAAATCATGGAGTCGTCATGCCCCCTCAGTGCATCGGCAAATACAGCCGTCCTATGATATAGCTCAATCATGCGGAGGCTGCATGCCTCAAGCTCACGGACGTTCCCAGTTGGGTAGGATGTCTATCTCCGAATCAGGGCTGGTGGAGACGATGAAGCAAGGGAATTCCACAATGCAATGGCAAAGATACGATAGTCTCCAGTCAATCGCCAACCGTAATATCAGAACCGCTGTCGGCTGTCCTAGAATGCGAATAGCGGTGTGTAGGACACATTAACTCTGTGCCTTGCATGATGTATGCATATTGTGTCACTGGCCACCTCGTATCCAGCAAGGCGGACACGCATTGGAATGCAACGGGGCTTACATATACCAAGCTTCTTATTCCTGAGTCTAATCAACGATTAATATGTCTGATATAGGTCAGAAAGACCCACTGTCGGTGTGACAAATCAAAAATCACACTATCATGGGGAAGCGACAGTTCGAAGCACTGAGCCCAAGGACGATACTTAAGCACTAACCACGGTACTTTTAATGTAGTCTCCAGCGTTCTAGGGAGGGTCAGAATTCAGATTGCTAATACACACTCGTCATGACCATGACCATCAGTTTCGAGCCATATGTGGGCTCCTCTGTCGATGCTCTAAGCATCCCTCTCTACCTTCGATGTCAACTCATTTTCAAGCTTGCTAAGCCTTATAGTGCTGTACCTCTGCTTGAATCAGGAGTTAGCCGTCTTATACAAGCGTTACCCTTCCTCTCGGGTGAGTTCACGGCCGTGCCAGCATCCGACGGTGGGAAAGAGATTCTTCTCGTTCGCCCTACGCCCATCTTCCAGCTCAGCCGTATACTCAAGATTAAGTATCACGAGACGTCCATCCACCATGTAATCAGACAAATGGACAAGCCAAGCAGCCAGGGTGGTGACCTTCCGCATGAGCCGTATATGCCCTACCCACGTCTTCCAGATCCTTCACTCCCTCAGCCCATCGTCGGGTTCCAGGTTAATGTTCACACTGATGGTATCATTCTTTCAGTTGCTACGCATCACTGTTCCTTTGACGCAACAGGGATGGGATCGATGGTCCAAAACCTCGCAGCCTGCTGCCGCTGTGCACCAGGCGACGAGCCTGCCTTGACTACGTCGTCAGCCCAGGAAGCAGAAGCAAGAAAAGTCCTCTCGCAAATTCGCGAGACACCTTTTGATCCAACAATGTTCCCCGAGTACAAGCCCCTGGACAGTATGGTGTCCTATTACAAAGGCGTCCAGTCAGCGCTCCAAGGTCGTCAAACCACTCTCGTCAATCGATGTTTCACAATCGCCACCGATAAGATCAACGCGCTCAAAAAGCGCTGCAATGCATTGATCCCGGAAATGGTGAAAAAGTATGGACTTTCAACTCAGGATGCCACTGAAAGCGCCGGGGTCTCGAGTGATGATGTTGTTGCTGCCCTCTTGTGGACATGTATCAATCGAGCACGATATCCCGAATTATGCGAGCGCAGCGTTCAACAGCTCCCACCAGACCTCCTACATGCGACATCTAGCCTGGGTGTGCCAGTGAACGTTCGCTCTCGACTGTCACCCCCATTACCCAAATCGTCCTTAGGTAACGCCGTGTGTCTTCTCCGGGAGCAGGTCCCGCTGCATTTTTTCGCTTTGCCCGGTCACGCTAACACGGAGGCCACTTCTACCCTTGACGCGGACCATTCCGAAGACGACGAATGGGCCATGTCCTTCTGTCGAGTCGCCTACGGACTCAGAGCGAAACTGAACGCGATTGATGACGGCTATATCCGCGACTATATATCCTACGTGCAAAAGTCTCCGTGCCATCTTTCAGTGACACTTGATACGGAGAACCTCTATGTCAGCAACTGGCGCGAGGTCAGTGTGTATGACGCTGATTTTGGAGCCATGTTGGGCAAGCCGCTCCGGATGAGAGCTCCAGACGGATACTCTGATGGCCTGATCTTTGTGATGGCGCAGCGGAGTGAGGATAGGACTGCCCCGTGGGAGTTTAATATCTCTCTGGAGCCATCGGCAATGAAGAGTATTGAGCATGATCCCCTCTGGTGCAAATATGTTGCGCTGGATGAGTTCTGGCATGGAGAAGCATGACTCTCTGATACTAGCAGGTTTTTAATAGTTATTTAAGCGTGCTTTCTAGGATCTTGTTGATATATCTACTGTAGACTTTCTCGAAATGCTACCGACATGATAGCTACGCTAGCCTCTGTCATGGCTTTGATCTTGTGTATATTTCGTTTTGTCTCTCAAGTGCACCCGTTTTCTTCTTGGCAGCTCCCCTCCTCTCTGAATTTGAAAGGGGTATGTGAGACTGCAACGTGCGAGAGAGTGTTCTGCCTTTCCCTCCCTCTCGGACAGAATCGATCGGCACGGCATTAAGTCTCCGCTATGCAGGCTCCCAAGCTAGAAAAGTCTACGGTCATACTTGCCCAGCCCCGGTGTTCTCCGATTGTTTCAGACCAATGATCCGTCACCGTTGGCTTCATTTACGTTGGCAAGATCCTTCACAGCACTTGATCAGTAAGTCTCCGAGGCGACGTGTCATTGGTGAGGGGATAGGAAGCAATTGCCGACGACCTGACCGAAAGTGCATGAAGGGGCTAACTCTAGGTCTAACTCAGATGTAAAGTTAGCCTGTCAGGGTGAGCTGGACTGTAATCGTCTGTTAGGTTTGTGAGCCCAGCCCTACGAGACTATCTGACACCAAATACCCATTAGGGAAGGTGATTATCTCCTAGCGTCAGGTGGAAACACATGGAAGACTCTGAACATGGAAGATTATTCAAATAATAATGATTACTGAACAAGTAATCCAAGCATGAGTGAGGCTGTGATAGAAGCTAGCGCTTATTGGGTCTCATACAAACCATGTTAGAAAATAGAATACCGCTATGAGTACAGAGATGAGACTATCCTGACTGGGATATAGTCGGGACCCCCTTTTGGCCTAGTGGTATATTATTTTGATAACCTGGGTCATCAGAATTATACCACCAATCTCATGCATCAGGATAGGCGGGATTCTTCACGAATCTGACTAAAGATGTTGTGAAGAATCTATACTTGATATACTCGTCTTCTCGCCGGTGTCTGGCCCCTTCGGCGGACGCCACCTAATCATCATCCTCTTCACGGGAGGCTTACGCATATTTTGTTAAAATTTAGATACATATATACTTTACTGAGTGATAATTAGTGACTATATGCATAACTAAGTTAACTAAAAGTCTGCAAGGAACATGGTCCCAGTCTAACTGCCCAGCATGCCTCCATGTGCGCCCCCACGGAGTGAAAAGAAGGTTAATACTCCGCTTTTGCCTCTAGCTATAACTATATTCACACGCCTGCTGTGTTAAACCAGGCCTAGGGGGTCTATACAAATGAAAAGGTGGTAATGTAGTAAAGGCAGAGGCTAAGTACCGAAGGAAGAATAAGAGTGGAAGACTATTCAACAAGTAGACTAAGTACAAAGGAAGAGGGGCTAAGCTGCATAGATTTCTGAGGAAGCATATCTAAAGTTGAGTGGCTAAACTCTCCGAGTTAAACCTAATATTCTCTACTGGTTAAGTAGTTCGACCCTAGTTCGACAGTATTTGCTATTCCCACCCCTGCCATTATTTGAGAGCTAGTGGTCTCACCACTACGCTTACTATCCTGTTTTTAGCATAACTTCATTTGGCGGAAATTAGACTTGTAGAATAGAATAGAATAGAATAAAACAGAAGGCCATTGTAGATTCCCCGAGCAGGTATTAAAACATGAAGCACCAAAGACACCTGGAGAATCATGCATATATAGCCCGCGTGGCCAGCAGGCTGCCTCTATATACCGAATTATTATATACCATATCTAGATGATGTTCATACATTCTATTCCCCACGCACCTAAACGGCTCTGCCTGCTATGAAAAGCATGATATTGTGAATAACTTTAGATAATTGCTAAAAACCCTTGGAAAGTTTCTTCCCTACTTGCAAGAGACCCTGCACGCCGTAAGCACTAGCAAGCGAACCCTCTAGAAAAATAAGAATGATCTAGATCGCGGAAACTGTAGCGTTTCTCTACTTATATATTATGGTGAGGAGTTGGCGAGGTCAGTGCGGCATTGGTCGAGAGGTACGATTTGCCAAAGCGGGTAATTGGTATATGATCTACCAAGTCGCTTGGCAGGAGCCGCGACAGACCGCAGCTGATTGGAGGTACGGACTCCGTGAACATATTGAAGTCTCCGTGCTGAACCTTCTACTGCAGAAATGTCTCCGATGTTGACGGAGGACCGTGGACTTGACCTTCCCGCCCCCAAAGTGCATGCACGTTGAACCAACCAAGTTGACCAACCACGCTGGCCTCACAAGGTCCTCACCATGCGCACAACTAGCCAATAAGATCCTCGTTTTTCAGTCATTTTGTTGGTGATCGGCACTCTGAACTGCAGCTTACCGACGCATCCTTTGCACGCGAATTGTTTTGGCTGCGTGGCTGTTCCGGTTGGAACCAATGAGTTGGCGGGGGGAGAGCCGTGCAGAACTCGATGCAGAGATCACTTCCTTCGCCATGTTGCACAAGCACGGTCCATGCTGGCTGCAAGATTCAGTTGTGCCTTGCCATGCATTGGAGTTGTCGTTGAAGAGCCGCAGATTCTGGATAGAGTGAAGGCCATGTCAACGTCAACTTGACAGGAATGAAACGAGTCAATTAAGTTTGATTGCGGATCAAGTGGTCAGACATTTGGCCATCTGACAGGCCGGATCCGCATCATCAGGCGCTCCAAAACTGTAATCTGCATGCGCGAAGGATTTTGAGGCGCAAATGAAGCCCTGCTAGTGGTGCTCGTTCAGGACGGACTGATTGACATTGTCAACGTCAACTAAATCGAGGTCAATTTAGTTGGACTGCGGATCAAGTTGAGACAGACGCTTTCCTTGCTCTCTGACAGGCCAGATGAGCGTCATCAGAGGTGCTGCAAATGTACTCGGCATGCATGGAGAGATTCAGGTGTCAGAATAGAATCCCCCCCTTGCCACCGGTGCTGCAAAAGCGATAGGAGGTTGAACGCGTTCTCCGAGGCCGTTCGGTGCTAATATTTAAGGCCAGTAGTCTACCACCTCCATGGGGTTGCCAAAAGCCAAACTACTCGTCAGCGATGGCGACAGCTATGCAGGATGTGTCGCCATCTTTCACCTCGTCTCCGACGTCCACAATGAGCACCATGTCTACTACTCCCGCCACTAAACCAGACAAGCCTCGCAAGCTACGGTCGGCCTGCGATGCCTGTCACCGCTCCAAGACTCGATGCTCGGGGGGCAACCCTTGTACCCGATGCCACGAGTATATGAGTCCATGTACCTACAGCTACTCCTCCCGCTGCGGCAAGCCCAAGGGGGCCCGGAGTCGCAAGACTCTGGAGCGGGAGCAGCGGGTGGCGGCGGCTGCGGCAGCGTCCGCTCGGGTAGCGGGGAATCCCCCGGCCCCAGCCTCAGCCTCAGCCCCCGCTACAACTACAGGTACAAACACTCCCTCTCAGGGTCTAACGGTGGACACGGCCGCTGCCACAACAGGCGCAACAGGCGCCACCACGTCCACAGTCACCTCTCCCCGCGCTGACGACTGTCTCGGTCTGTTCGATGACGAGGAGGAATTGAACCCGTTTTTCTCCAGCTGCAGTGAGAGTACCGGGGTTACTGCGTTTTCATCAGACTGGATCCCTCCTCTGCCGTCCATATCCGATTCCGACCTTTCATTCCCGTTATTGGAGTCCGGTTTAGGCCCGGACCCTGACCCCAATGACTCGCTTTTCTGGAGCATGATCGCCGACCCTGACTGCCAGCCGGCCAGCAAGGAGCCGCTGGATCCTCGATCCAAGCTGCTACGCTCCTGCAAATGCCTCCAGACCCTCAGCAACCTAACCTCTCGAGATATCCGTCGATTCGATGCCACCTTTGTCTTTGTGCGAAACTTTGCTCGGGCATTTTCCGCCTTCTACCATTGTTCACACTGCCCGAAAGATGCCGGCAGTATCAGCATGGCCGTGACCGCGCTGCAGCTCGCAACGACAGCGCTGGAAAAGACCACCAACACAGGGACCGAAGCGGCTGTCTTCAAGTCACGCTGCTCGAGCATGGGCCCCGCCGACTTTGACGAGGACCTCCTCACCCCAGGCTCCGAGCTCTTCCTACCCTCGAGCACCAAGAGTGCCACCAATCCTGCTTTCCAGCTGGGAAGCTACCAAATCGCCCCGCTCCCGGGGGAGCCCGACGCGGAGGAGCATAGTGAGATATTAAACATCTTGATTCGGTCCGCGGTGCGCCGCTTACTGGCCGTCTGCTGGCAGATCTGGGATCTGCTCCGTAGTCCCGCTTCCCGCGACCATGTCTTTGAACCCCTTGACCCGTCCTCCTCCTCTTCCTCTTCATCCTCCTCATCTTCCTTCTCCTTCGGCCCCGAAATTAATCAACTCCTCGATCTCTCATGCTCGGCTGAAACGGCCCAGTTTCGGAGCACGCTGGTCCAGATACCGGCTCGATTGTGCAACCTGCTGGCGCTGTAGGCCCCCTAACTTCTTTTGCTACCCATGAACCATGCAAAGTGTGAACGGGTATGGAGGCGGATGTACGAATTACGGTAATGACCCCGATTCAACACTCTTTAGGCGAGGACCAGAGCGAGAATACACTTTAGAGAGTATGATCAAGACTCACCCTAGATTACGCCTTCTGGGATCCGATGAGGGAAAAGAGAAAAAACACAAAAAATATGTTTAAAAAATCGCAAAACGGCATGTTTATGATTTATCGATTGATATAGTTGTCTGTGCATTGATAGAGCAAGGATTCTCATAAATGATATACATGTGTCGAGATAATAGCAGCTGTTCTTGGTAATATATTTGTGGAATGTATAGGATGGAGTCTGATTCCATCACCACCTATTGAACCTTTCCTTATGAACAAGAAAGCAATATCAGGATAAACTATTCAAAATCTCTGCATGTTGAAACATGATAGTTAGCACTCTCATTGCCAAACTAGTGTTGAAAAGGTGATATCTTCCTAGCATTTTACAGCGGACTCGATGTTAGAATAACAGAACGA